AATATTCTCTTTTAGGATAGTATTTTCTTTGTCTTCTTAAGATGATAACTGATTTCTCTTAAATGGTGAGCTAGTACTAGCTTATCTTCACAAATTTGAGGCAAAAATCTATTTTATTCCTTGAGATAAAAAATTACTAGTTTACATCAAGTTCAAAAAAGACAACATACAGTAATGACGTTTATGTCAAGTATAAAAGTGAAGAATACCATAAAATAAGAAGTATATGGAACTCGAGCAAAAGGAGATTTCCAAAAGGGGCCAGTCAGGTGGTCAAGAGCAAACACAAATTTTTCTTATCGATAGGTAAGTAAGCATTTCAAATACAAAACAGTACAACAAATTGAGAAGAATTTTCACAAAAGAAGAGCCAAGGATTGAGAAGAAGCACATGCTGTTTCTAGCAGAAGTAGCCTAAGGAGGCCTTTGATGGCGTCAAATTGTAATACATACAAGAAGAATTCCCGAAGATTTCGAACGGCGGTAGGAGAAGGAGGTGGGAGAAGAAGGAGGTAGAGAGGAAAGATGAGGGGAGGAGGTAGGGGAGGGTAAAGGGGAGGAGAAGATGGAAAGTCAAAAAAGTAAAGCTTATCCCTTTGCCCTTTCCGCGCAAACTTTTTAAGACGAAATAGGGGAAAGTCATTTGACAAAGGTCATCCTAATGCCGTTTTTTTTATTTTCAGGGTGAGGAAGTATTTAAAGGCGACGCTACTTCAATTCGTTAACAGTTCAATAAGAGGTGCCTACCATGCAAGTGAACTTCAGCATTCAAAACTTCATTTTAGCACATTCAAATGGCAAATGTACAGGGCAATTCTTCTCATGAAATGGTCGGTGATGATGATTCAGAGCTGAACAGCATGGAACTGATTTTCTGATCGCAGAATGGCATCAATTGGACATAGAAAGCAACATGAAAGCAAAGTTCCGCATATGGTGTGATTGCACCCTTCACAGTAAGTACACAATTTGCGAAGTGTGCACAAAACATCTGATGTCTCTTTTGCTTCTTTCAGCACTCATACCTAGACATTTTTGACTCTGAATACCAATAGCATTCCTCTTAAAAATTAACCAAGAATGAACCAAACCGGAACTGCAAAATTAACATTGCCAACACTACAAATATTAGAAGAAGATTAAAACAAAGCGATTTTCAGCAGCATTCTAGCTTATAAGCTCTTCGTGATGATTAAAAGTAAGTGCAGAAAAAGGGGAAAAGAGCAGATATGAAGAGGGGCTAAATTTTGAAGAATGTGGTGACACTGCATGAACATATACAATTGAAAATACATCTGCAATAGGCACTAATGAATAAAAAGCGAGCGCTTATTAGAAAAAACAATGTCTAGCGTCTTACTAATCGTCCAAGCGACAGTTTTAAGAGCAGAGCTTTTGGCCGCGTACCTGCTATTTGCACGCAAATCTGCTAATGCATATCGAGCTAGAACTACTACGAAACCCTTCCCTCAAACCCAACAATTTGAGAATTTGCCGAATTGAAGAAAATATTGCGTAAAATAGGGTGCTGATGAGGTGTCACAGCTTCACCCGCATACAGTATCTCAAAATTCAGTTCTCATATCTTTAGCGTACTAAAGTGTATATTCATTATACATTTTTCGATTATAGATGCTAGATCATAATTTGGTCAAAATTGCCTCAACTTTTCTTTCCTACTACCATATCTTCCTTATATTTTTGATTTCGTTTCTTTTCCAATGCTTACCAGAATTCGATGGTTCGAATTGTATGTCTAGGCTTTAAGCGTTAATCTTTTCTCTTCTTTTACTGTATTTAAACTTTTCAGAGGCATCATGTATGTATCGAGAAAGCTGCTGAGCAGCTTAACCATTCGCCATTATCGGCAATTTTTTCGAAAAACCGCAAAAGCTCCAGAAGTCACTCAGGTAGTGAGTTTTTTGCCTTGTATTAGCAAAAACTCCAATTTCTTGGTTGAATATTGTTGAACTAAGTGGCTTTACAACTTCTATGTCAAAAATGATTTTGTATATCTCTAAAGCAGATTAACTTTTCTGCTGCTGCTAAGTATACTTTTTTCCGTGTAAGTTTGGGA